CAGAAAATTCTCCATAAAAACTATCTTCTAAAATAAAATTAATATAAGTATGGGCGTTGAAACAAAAATTTCTTACTAATTAGGAAACCCAATCGGGCCCATGAAAACCCGTTTTATGTAAAATTCTCGAGTGAACGAATCGGCATTTGTGGATATAAAATAAATATTAAAAAAAGTAAATTCTCTATGTAAAAATGCACAAATACAAAGTGTAAAAAGGTGTTTGAATGAAAAAATGAAAATTGTTGCTAAAATCGGATATTACATACAATTTCTATATTCTGCGGTTAAAATAAGTGCAACTTATAAATAATCCATCTATTAACTTCTTCAATAAAATAGTACCTCACTCTAAGAATAGAAAAATAATTCTAAATTATGATTTAAAGTTAAACATGCAAACCCAAATAAGTTTTTGACTGGATTTTAATACTTAAAAAAGAAAAATATAAAGTGGTCGGAAAATCTATTATCAAGATAGAACAAGTGTATTTAATAATCGAAAATTAGGACAAGTAAAAAGTGCAATGCAAAAAGTCTATAACTGGAAACAAAAAAATTAATTAAGAAATGTGTAAAGATCAACATTAAAAGAAGAAAAGTGTTATTTTTTCAAACCTTTATTTGCTTTTATTAACATATCACTCTTGGAATCCGCGACCAACGGCACGATTAGATGCTGAAGTATATTGACTATTTAAATAAAAATCAAAAACAAGAGCTATTATCCTTCCTGCTGAATAAGCTCCTTTTTTGGCCCCAGTCCATTTCTGTCTGACTCATTCCACTTGGCCGAAACTCCGTCTGGAGTTGCAACCCTCATTAGAAGTGAGCCACACCCCCTGCAAATAGTGCCCAGCCCCACCCGCCACCCACCACCCAACTCCCCCTGCAACTCCACAGAAATGCAGAGACCCCAAAAAACAGTGGGGGAAATCTAACAGGGTCTCTACAGCGCGATAACAGTGCGCTGCTTGCTCAACTGTAGACGCTCTGTTAGCCTTGCCTTGGTGTGGGTGAACTTGAACATAACTCACACACACAAGCTTATGGTCTATTTCTCTCGGCGCTCTCTTTTTATTTGCACTGCTCTCTCGCTCGATTTATTCTATTTCAAGTTCTTATTTTGCAATGCAAGTGTGTGCGATATCGTTCAGTGTTAAGGTCAATACATTGCCGCTTTGGCATGGGTGTGCTTTTTTTTGCTGTTTATGTGTGCGATTGCACTTGAAGAAAAAATCAGATCAATTTTGGGGTATCAAAATAGTTTTATTTTGGTAGTTATAGAATTAATTTACACATTACTTACATTAAATAGCCATATCTTTTATTATATTATTTTTAACTCGCTAAATGTAAAATTTAGAGGTAAAGAAATAAATAAACTTTAAATGTTCTTAACGTTCCAAAAGCTTAAAAAATTTGTTTTTGTTTGTTAATTTTTTTTATCTTTGTAGTATTAGTTTATTCTGAAGTCCTGATAAAAATCTTGCAAATAAATAAAGTTTTTATTAAAATCAACAATTTTCATTTATTTATTTAACGTTGAGTTTTCCGATTTAAATACGCTTTTTAATATTTTCCCTGTGTCGATTTCCACATGGTTGCAGCTCGTGAGGTTGCATTTTGTTTGTTGATTAGTCTGCTATTGAATGTTGCCATGCACACGCGAGTGCACACACTCGCACACTGAATGTCATCGCCTTTGCGTTTTGTAAATAGCGGTTTATTTGGTACCTAGAATTTGTATATGTATTTTTTTGGAGGTCTCCCCCACTGACGTTTGCGGAAGCTTCCGTTATATGGCCGCCATCGAATCGACGAGGAATTATGGGGCATGATGCATCATCTCATGGCGCTTCGAAAAAATATGCATTTCTTTCGACAATGTCACATGATTGCTCTGTTTTGCTATTAAAGGAGAGGTGAAAGTAAGCGTAATGCACGTGTTGGATTTTTGTAACGGGATATAGAAGGCTATTAATTAATGTTATGGCATTAAGCTTATTGTAAATAATTGCACTAGAATGCCAGAGATTTATTTTTGAACCTAAAATTCTTCTTAAAAATATGTTTATATTTTAAAAATGTTACTTATTTATCATAAGATTTTTCCAATATTCTTTTAAATTATCTTCCCAAATAAGACAATCTAAAATATCCAACATATTTCACTCTATATTTTGGTAGTCACTATTATAAGGCGTAAAAGACATCAAACTTTGCAGTCCACAATCTTTGCTAATTTTATGCGTATAATTCCTTTTTTGGCACTCCAGCTCCATTCATCAACTACAGGCAGACCCCGAACCTACCTCAATGCGTAACCCTGCCCTAACCCAGAGAAAATAACCCAGAATAGCCCGAACCAACTGAAAAACGCAACCCCATGGAAATCTCTCCGCACGCATATTACTCATACGCACCCGTAACACGGAAGTTGAGCCCCGCTAACTGAAGCCCCAAATGGAAAGCAGCAAGCAACCCCCGAATAATCATCAACCCTTGTGCCGCAAAAAACTCCAAAAACTCCCCCTCGCAACTGCCCCAGTCCAGATTTTGTTAACCCCCTTTTGCCAAAAAGGAAAAAAAGCTAACAAAATCTGTGTGCGTCTTTCGCTTTTGGCTGGCTCATTCGCATTTATTTTTGTTTATTTATGTTTTGCTTGTTGTATTCTGCGCCTCAGCTTCCTCGTACGCAGTCGCTCTCTCTCCGGGCCTCTCGCCTCTGAATTCTTCCCATCTTTGCAGCCCGATTCTCTCGATTCTCACACGGTTTTCACTTTCATTGTGCAGCTTTTTGCGCGAGAGCCGACTCGCTTTTGTTCGCTCTTTTCTGGTTCTGTTCTGGCTTTCTGAGCTTTTGCCGTTTCAATCTTTCAGTCAGAGAAAGTACGGCCAACGCAACGGTTGCGACTGTATTCCTACCAGCCGCGATCCTAGCAAACAAACAACCTCCCACTAGCCGAGCAGAGAGTGAATGAAATTGATTGAGAATTGAGCAAACCCAAAAAGAAGAATTGCAAGAAAATTAAAAAGAGAGTGCCAATAATTCGGGTAAATGTGCAATTATTATGGGAGCACGCCAAGGTTCCTTATATAAGCGAGAGCCCATTGTCAAGGGCGCCAAGTGTTGGCCACATTGAGCCGTGGCCGTGGCCGTAACCGTGTCCGTAGCCGTGTCCGTGTATCGTTTTCGAATCGTGTCCGTAGCGCCTCGTGAGCGTCCTTGTCCTTGTGCAGGCCGAACAGCTGCTTGGGTCCTGTCCCGTCCTCTGTCCCCTGTCCCCCACACCGACCTCGTCTTCGTCCTTGTTCTTGAACCTCGAGTCCTCCGAAAGTATCTGCCACTGCTGATGCCACTCCGCCCTGAAAAACGACCTTCCCGGGCGCCCAGCTGTTGCTACCGACCATCCACTCGTATTCTCGACCCTCAGCTGTTGGCCCATGCGATATAGGAGAGGAGAAAAGTTGCTGGACATAATGCCAGAAAATCGGAGATATCGCTGAAACAGCTGTGCAATTCAACGGAACTATTCTATTCGCAATGTGCTTCAATAAGTTGTTCCTAATAAACAAATTCGCCCAGCGTTCGCCTGGCACAAAGGTCAAAAGTCAGCAGAGACAAGTGTAAGAGCCTAAAACCGAAAAAAAACCAAGTTAATCAAATTATAATCAAAGTGAAAAAACCAATAAATGAGCTTAGAGCAGTTAATAAAAATAAATTTAAAGTGGCACTTGAATATCCATCAAAGCTCACACAACGCTCCCCCAGAAAAAAAAAAACCTAAAAACAAAGTAATAAACCAATTCAACTATATTTTTCTAGAGGTGTTTAAAAAACAAATAACCCAACTACTCCGCGGAAGTATAAACACGTAAAACTAAACAAAAAAACAAAGTGAACAAAAATTACTGCTCAGGTTTAAAAGTTTATAACAAAAAAAGGCAACTTAAGCGTTGTGTTTCATGTGCAAAATCTAAACAAATATCTATACAAATAAACTCATATATTTTTGGAATAAAATTACTAAAACCAATCTAAATAATAAATCTTGTGAATCGTGTAACTTGTAAAAAATATAAAGTAGCATAAGCAGTGAATATATAACTATAAAAACAAACAAATAACAGATTAAACCTTATACACACCTAAATACGATCATCAAATATATATATATTCTTATACATATTATTCAACGATTTTATTCAATCAATACATCAATCAACTCAACAATCAATCGAGCGATATACTTCAATTTGCAAGAAAGTAAGTAATGATAACTTTAGAATTTTTACTTATGTAGTTAGATTTTTATTCGAATATTTGGTTGTAAAATATATTTTTTGAATATTTACAAAATTGTTTTATCCTTTTCAGCTACTTTAAAGAAATACCTACAAACATACTCAGACGCTGCTGTGGATCGGGCGGAGTATAAATCAGCAAACAATAAACCATCAAGTATTATTAGCTACTAAAACGAACTCAGACCGTGAATCAGCCTCAGAGATCATCCAACTTAACTCAACTTAACGCAACTCAGTCGAACTCATCTCATCGTGAACGGAAGTAGCCTCAACCAGAATACATCAGATACAAGTATATATATTTAGACATATGGTAACGATCAAGCAACTGTGGGCAGGTATAGGAACAACGCTAAGCTAAACGTAAGGACTAAGGACAACAAACAACAAATTCTCTAGGATACAATAGAATACAAAAAAGAAAAAACAGAAGAAAAGGACAACTTTTTCATGCAACTTTGAAGGCTGACAAAACTAATTTTTTGATAATCCAAAAGCAGAAGCGAACAAATTACAAATTACAAAATAACACAAAAACAGCAACAACAAAAAGCGTAAAGAAGAAGAGACTGATTTTAAAAATAAAGGAGCAAGCAGCGAAAAGGATAAGGATAAGAAGGCAGCAGAAGTGAGGCAAAAGTGATTCAGGATCAAATCCAAAAACAGAAAATAAAAAAATACAAGAAAACGCAACTCTCCATACAACATATTTAGAATACATCTAAGGCAGATTGATATTTTTGAGCGATTCACCCTATTTTGATATAACATGTTGAAGAAACTCAAGTGCATGGAGGCGGTTCAGGCAGCAGCGGCAGCAGCATCATCATCATCTGGAGGATCCCCGGGCTCGAATTCCGCATCGAAGCTGATCAAGACCGAACCGATTGACTTCGAGATGCTGCATTTGGAGGAGAACGAGAGGCAGCGCGACTTGGAGCGGGAGCCGAGCAGCAGTAATGGCAACAGCCTGACCCCAACCCCCCAGCGGTACACCCACGTTCAGGTGCAGACCGTTCCGCCCCGCCAGCCCACGGGTCTGACCACGCCCGGTGGAACCCAGAAGGTCATCCTGACCCCACGCGTGGAGTATGTCCAGCAGCGAGCCACCAGTTCTACGGCGGGTGTACCGAGCGGTGTGAAGCACATCTACAGCCAGCCGCAGGGATCATCACGATCCTCGTCAGCTGAGGCCACAGCTCTGCTGACCACCACCTCGGGCACCCCCCAGATCATCATCACCCGCACCCTGCCCTCCAATCAGCACTTGTCGCGTCGCCACTCGGCCAGTCCCTCGGCCCTGCACCACTACCAGCAGCAACAGCAACAGCAGCAGCAGCAACCACAGCGACAACAGCAATCGCCACCACCGTTGCACCACCAACAACAGCAGCAGCAACATGTCCGCGTGATCCGCGATGGCCGCCTGTACGATGAAGCCACTGTGGTGGTGGCCCGGCGGCATTCTGTGTCGCCACCACCGCTGCACCACCACTCCAGATCGGCCCCTGTATCCCCGGTGATTGCCAGGCGGGGAGGAAGTGGAGGAGCCTATATGGAGCAGCAGTATCAGCACAGGCAGACGCCACCTTTGGCACCACCTCCGCCGCCTCCACCGCCGCCACCACCACCACCCCCACCCCAACAGCAGCAGCAGCAATACATCTCCAGTGGTGTTGCACCACCCACGGCGGCGGCCAGGAAGTTTGTGGTTAGCACCAGCACGCGACACGTTAACGTGATTGCCTCCAATCATTTCCAGCAGCAACATCAGTCGCAGCAGCAGCAGCAACATCAGTCGCATCAGCAACACCAGCAACATGTGATTGCCAGCGTTAGTTCTAGTAGTGGCTCCGGCTCTTCTTCTTCGCACATCTTTCGCACGCCCGTGGTATCCAGCAGCAGCAGCAGCAACAGCGGTGGCAACAGCAACATGCACCACCAGCAGCAACAGCAACAGCAGCAATCGAACCTGGGCAACTCGGTGATGCGGCCACCACCGCCGCCGCCTCCGCCCAAGGTCAAACACGCCTCCAGCTCCAGCAGCAGCAGCTCGAGCAGCAGCAACACCAACGGCGGCAGCAGCAGCAGCGGCGAGGAGCCGTCTAGCTCGATTCCTGATCTAGGTAAGTCAAGCCAGTCGCACTGTTAAACTAGCCACCCGTTGACCCTGACGGCACTTGTCGATCGCTTTATGGTCGGATAAACGGCAGGCAGGTTCCTACCATACAGAAATTTTATAGGGACACTGGACAGCACGCAATTATAAATGGTTTTTAGTAGGGTGCTGATAGTGCTTAAAAATATATTGAATTATTTTTAAGTTATTGTACAAATAAATAACCATATTTTCATGTTCTGAATAGATTCTTAATTATTTCTATTAAATTGCCAAATTATTTCTATTAAATATAATATGAAATATAAGGAATGAAATACATATATTTAGTAATTAAAAATTGAGTAGGTTTATTTAATATCTTTCTGAATCCGTAGCTAAGTGTTACTTGGCATGTAGGAAATTAAAATGTATTCACTTGTGAGTCAGCGGTTAATAGAGCTGTTTGTACAGTTAGTCGTCGCACATGATACATTTTTTTACACAGAAAAAAAAATTGATATGAAATTGCACTCAAGTTAACATTATTTCATATCAAATTTGGGCCGATATTAATAAATGCAAGATTGATATTTCGAACATATCAAGTTGATATTTTCGAGAATATCAAGTTGATATTTTTAAATATCAATTCAATCTTAAGAAAGATTAGTGTTTAAAATAACATTTGAACTTTTTGGTCATCAAAATGATATTTTTTATATCAATTTTTGTCATCAAAATGATATTTTTTATATCAATTTTGTTCATCAAAATGATATTATTTCGTGTATATTAGTACCCCCCAGTAAAACAGAAATTTTTATTTTATATTAAAACAATTTAATTCTAATCATTTCACATTTTTTTGAGTCGGTGTACATATGTATAGGTGGGCCAGCAAAATCTTCAATATTTTATTATTTTAGTTTTGCCTGTGACACACACAACGTAAAACTGCGGCCGGCACACACACACACGCACATTCAGAACCGAAATGTCTTTAAATTGTGTGCTAACTCGACGGCAAAGTTAAAATCACCACAACTGTGTAATGTTTCGACTTAGAACTCAATAAAAAAATAAATTGATTTCATTTGACAATAAAAACACCTTGTTCTCGAATATTTTTGGTCTCAAAGTTGGGCCAGCTGTTTTTGCAGTGCTGCACAATCTCACATTGGTACAGTGTTGTAAACTGTGGAACACTATTTCTCCCTTTCGAACTAAATTCGAAACGACATTTGATATTATTTCATATCAAAGTCATACGATTTCATATAAATTGTAAATATACTTGTTTTAAATACCGAATTCAGTATTTTTTTTCAAAAATTAATATGAAATAAGATCAAAATAATATTTATTCATGTTAGAATGATATGACGAAACTTGATCCTTAAAAAAAGATCAAATTAACCAACAAATATCAATTTGATATTTTGTCATATTTTTTTCTGTGTATACATATCAACGGAATGAATGGGTTTAACGGTAATGCTGAAGCCATCAAAAGGTCAAACAAAATATGAGTAATTTTACTTTCTATAACAAAGACCTAGAATAGAATACCCAGTAAAGCACGTTTTGAAAGTCGAGTGCAGTTGGGGATTGGGTCAATAGTTTTAAGAGGGGAATTAATTCTTGATATAAAAGTCAAGGTAATCTGATTTAAAGATTTCAGTTTCAAACCCAAAAACGATTCAAACGAAATAATTTCAATTCATCATTGGATTACCTCATAATTTAGGATTGCGTTTTGGAATGATATATGTATATATGTACACGTCCAATTCAATCCCGTGCTGCACCTCAAATCAGAATTTTTATTTAAATTTAATTATCAATTTAAATTGAAATTGTTTTCGGGGGTTGGTCAACAACACCCCCCTCCTCCTCTGCCCACCCATTCCCGGCACACTTTTTAACATTGCCAAGGTTGCGAGATATGTTATATATATTCCTATATATATTTGTGTTAATTTTTGTGTGTATTCAGCAATTGGCTCTCTCACTCTCTCACCTTGAACTTCAACTGGAATAAACTTGCCGCTCTGTCTGCTTTTCTGCTTTCCTCTGACGTTATGTCTGACTTTTGTTGGTTTCGCATCCAAATTGGAATTAAATCTATTGGGTGAAATTGCGTATAAATGAAATCGATACAAAATCTGCATTGTTCGATTTTTTTTTATTAATGATTTGTTCGGCGAGATGCATTTGCAATGCTGATTTATTTTACCACTTCCGTTTTTTCACTCTCAGTTTGTTTTGTAAGTTCACAATAAAATATATATGTTTGGGATACTGATATTTTACTATCAAAGTTATTTTAAATTGTTTTTTTTTTTAATTTTTGTAAATGTGCTTTAATGGAATATAGAATTAGTCAAAACTACCCATTAGGTAAGAGTTCCTATAATATACTATTTATCATCATAATTTTTCTTCTTACCTCTAAAAGCCCATTTTTATGTAAATTTACCACAAAAGTAATAACTGTGATTGTCACCTAATTATAGACAATTTTATTTCTTTGTTATTCCAACTTCCACACTTTGTTGGAATTTCCTTATTCGTTTTCTGATATTAATGAGAATTCTGTTGCGATTGTTTTCATAAGTTATTCACTTTCAGTTTTGTTTTGTTTGGCTTCCCCCAGAAGTTTTAATTAATCAACTATTTGTTTATTTTTGCACATAAACGAGCAAGCGTAGTGCGTTGATTATGTGACCAGCATTTTTTAGTCAGGTTAAATCATATGTTTGGATCGGGATTTCCAGCTAAGCGTGGAACCTGTTCTGCGAATGCGAAAGAGATACGGATGAAAGTGACAGTTGAGAATGATTTTCGGGCTGAGAAATCTTGGTATTCTAATGATTTCATTTGGCTGAGCTGTGGGTTTTTATTTTTTTCTTTGGTTTTATTTTATTTTATTTTTTTTTTTTTTTGCACATGTCTCAAGATACGCTTAGTTATACAATACATGCGAGCGTGTGTGCTTATATGGAGAGTCGGGCTAGCCGATTTCTTGGACCACGGCTTGTTGTTCTTGCCGTTCTCCTTTGTCGCTTGGCTAATAAATAAACGAGTCTGAGAGTTGAGCAAATAAAAGTCAAGGCCAACCGGGCCGATTCGATAGATTTATTTGCCTTTTTCCAAGCCGAGCCATCGGTTGTGAAAGTGATTGCAGAGAGTTTGTGGATGTGCTTCCCTTTTTTTAGTTTTCCCCTGTTGCTCCCAGAGTCGAATATGCTCGATTGTAGGGCACTAGATTTTTCAATGTCAATGTCAAACCCAATTCGAGACCTTAAGCTCCACGCATCCCACATATCAGCAATGGGTCAACACTGGCTGCTTGTGTGTGCGTATGTAGAGCACTCATAAACGTCCATATCCCTCATGAAATGTATTTTTATTCCATTGTTATCATTTTGCGCAAGTGACAGGCAGCAATTGTCGCCCATAAACACACAAGGGAAAGCGAAACGCAAGGAGAGTAGAATTTGTTGAAGGTATCTGGGCTCAAAATAAAGTGAAATAAATAAATAAATAATAAACTTTTGAAATTTTTTGTAGATTTTGAATTGTAAAAAATTGGCAATCAAAATTATTTTTACAGTTTATGTTATTATTAATATCCTGGCATGGCTGTTAATTTTTATTTTCTTTTTAAGAAAATAAATAAATAAATAAGTAAATTCTAATAACATTGTTTCTGCTTTTAAATGGGTTCTTACTTAAGTGTGTTGTATTGCACAACCATTTTTCTATTAAGCGGTCTGCCAAGATCTTAATTTCCCAAGTCGATCGTCATCATTGGGGCAGAGATTATAAAACACAACGTAACTCCGTTAAGGGCGAATATGAATTGTTTATTTATTTAAATTTTTACCCCGACCTGTTCACTTCGACTAGCTGTTCTTAGTAGTAAGAAAAAAATTTACATACGCTCGAGTTTAACAACTGTTGTGTAAACGTTATATTAACTAGTATATAGTGTTATGCAAACAGTTATCCAAAGTGCCAGATTAAACATTGCGGTAAACTAGTTACTGACACAAACCTTTATACCTAGTTTTAGGTAACTATTGTAGCTTGGGGAAATATTTGGTTTTGTATACAAACTTCAATGTTCACTTTTTAAATAAATAAATAAATAAAAATTCATAAAACACGCTTAAAAGCTCTTAAATATATTTCAGCTTCTATAATTTGATTAGCAGACGAAATGGTTGGCATTTACTGAGCTGTAGAGCAAACTCATTTGCCTTTTGGCGTTCTGGCCATCTTTCAATTGAGTCATTAGCGGATTTTTTGACTTATTTTTCCGGATTGCCTGGCCTAGTCCCAGTCATCCGACGACCTTGCCAGCGAAAATGCGCTCTCCTCTTGCTTACATAACACCCACTGGAGCAATACTAAATGCTGATTTTTGCTCAGAACTGGCAATCATATTATTCAATAGAATAAAAGCAAACGCGTAATTTGTTAAGGTTTAGTTCAACTATGTGCCATTGAATAAATAAATAGATTATGACCTATTATTACCGATCAATGATCGCCAGAGAGAGAGAACCGAGAGAAATTGTGGGAATGGTCGGCTTTGGGGGCGGGGATGCGTTGTGGGTTCTCGACCTTGAGGTTATACAAACTAATAATAAACACACGTACTTGTTGCTAATTTCCGTTCAATCCAAAGTGTTTACTGGGCAAATGTTTTATAACCGAATTGAATATTGATTGAAATTATAATACACAATTATAGCCACAATGTAATGTAAAATGAGCGCTGATCAAGGAGATATGCCACCAGAATAATAAAACGTTTTTAGATTTTAAAGCAATTTTAAGGAATTTGGTTAAAGAAATTTAATGGATTTAATATCAGAATTGCTTTTTTTAAGCATATTTAAATAATCAATTTTAATACTGGGATTTAATAAATCCTTTATTAATCGGCTAAGTTGTCTAACTGCAGAATATCTATTTTTTAATGTTATAGAATTCTTAATGTTACAATTAAAATAT